GCTGCTTTGGCAAGTACCGGTGCCGCATAGACAGGGAATCGGACGCTCGGTGCCACCACTGCGTCCATTGCGGGGAGGAGACGGCGAAACACACGCTCGCCGAGTGTGTAGCTTGGGAGGAGCAGCGCCGTGTCCTCACAAATGAAGTAGGAGGCGATCTGTCTCTGTCGGCCTTGGTGCGGAAACTGACGGGAGAGGGAGATCTCGACTCCCTTCCCTGGTCGCAGAAGGCGCACCGGGTGCAGGAGAAGGGCGGACAACGCCCTTTTCCAGCCCCCATGCCAGCGGAGGCACGCGCGGGTTTCGGCGCGCGCCTCTGAGATGATACATGGAGTAGTTGAACACCTCACTACCCCGTGCAGGAGACGAGGCCCGTACAGACCGGGCCAGCACTAGTGTGGGGCTGCGGAAGAATTTGGATTCCCGCGGCCCCTCGCGTACACGTGCGAGGAGACACCGGGGTGGTTTTAGCCGGTAAGAGTCCGGCACAACCCTCCGCCTTTCCCCAGGCAGAGGCAGTCCATGAGGTTTACCCCCGGAAAAAAAAGGTTGGGTTAGGTTTGGTTAGGTTTTTTGTTTTTTTTTTATTATTATTACTTTACTACTACTATTCTGCAGTACCATTCTTTCTGTTATAGTTACCTTTGTGTAGTTGTATTCAATGATTTTTTTGTTTTTATTATTATTATTATTATTATTATTTTGTATTTTTATTTAGTTATTTATTTGTAATAATTTTTTTATATTTTTTTTTTTTGTATTTTACTGCTTACAATTTGCTTTGGTATACTCTTGCAGTTACTTTTTATAATTAATATATTCTTATTTTATACTTAATCTACATTATTGTAATTCTAATTATAATAACAATTCATAACACAATGCTTTGTTTGAATGTACAACTGGTTACCTTATTTTAATATTCTATCTGGATTCATTTCTTGTTAGTTATTGTTTTGCTATCTTGTATAAATAATCTACACTTATTTTAGTCCTATTTTTAGTAACAATTTTTTTTATTAATTTGTACTATTTATGATTACTTTGACTTTTTAACGGCCTATTTATTTACTCTTATTAAAAATTATACTAATTACAATTACTTTTATTAAAATGTATCCATTTACCCGCTATAACTACACGATTACTAATCTATTATCTTACTACCGTTTTCTTTATTAATTATTTTTAGTAATTTCAGTGCGAATTCCAGAAATATAGTTCGGCAATTGTTGTCTTCAACGATTAATGATAATGATTTGTTATTTATAACCAAACCCATTCTGCTTTCGCATTCAAATCTTTTAAGTGCAAATCGAGGACATTCTATTAAAATATGTTCGATCGTTTGTTGACTTTTGTTATCGCAATAGCAGTATGCGGATGGCGAAAGCTTAAATCTATGTAAATATGCTTTATTGCCACCATGACCTGTAAAAAGTTGAGTGAATATATTAGTCATTTTGATATTTTTTAGTATTTTATAGGCCGTTTCAATACTAGGGAAGAAGGTCTTCGTTACTTCACTGCCCGTACATTCTTCATATTTTGCTTGCCACATTTGTAGTGTATTGTGTCTGGTAATGCGCTTTGCATACGACAAAGGAACTCTATCGTATCTGGTCTTTTGTTTATTTTTGACAGCTGCGTACTTAGCCAATTCATCTGATCTTTCGTTTCCGCTTATTCCAATGTGTGCTTTGATCCAGTATAATCTTATGACACCCCCTTTTATTTCTATTGTTTTTATATTATTTCTAATTCCAGCAGCAAGAGGGTATAAATATTATGGATCACTGATACTCATTATTGCTGATCTGGTGTCGCTGAAAATATTTGCTTTCAGTATGTTTTTTGCTATTAGATATTCTAATGCCCTCAGGATGGCCACGAGTTCAGCTTGGTAGACGCTGCAATAGTTTTCAAGTCTGAATTTAATACTTTTTATTTCGGTGTTCTCGTTCCAGATGGTGACAGCTGCTCCCACTTTATTGTTAAATTTACTTCCGTCAGTGTAGACTTTTATCCAGTTGTTAATTTTTTCGTCGATATCTTGCTGAGAATTAATATATTCAAAATTATATTTCTTCCTTTCGGAGGGGTGCGATAAGTCGAATGGGCTTATTTTTTTATCCAAAAGTCTTTCCGGTAAGGAATCTATAGGTTTCCCACGTTTTATCTCATAAATAACAGCATTTTCTCTGGCTTTGAGTGCTAAAGGTATTATTTTAGCCATTAATGTGCTCGATACTAGAGAATTTGTTTTATGACCTTTGCAGATTCTTATGCTGAAGAGTCTTGTAAGTCCGTTTAATAACCGATCCACGTATCTTTTTTCGGTAGTATGCGCCCAGCAGCTCGCCGCATACAACACCGTTGGTTGTACTATAGCTGTATATATTATACGGACAATGTCTGAATTGAGTCCCCATTGTGCTCTTGCTGCTTTAGATACCATTTTATAGAGATTAATTGCCTTGCGATTAATGTTCTCTAAGTGTGGTTTAAAGGTAAAGTTTTTGTCAATCGTAAGGCTTAATATAGTCAGATGTTCTGTATAATTCAGCTCTATTTATTCCATATATAATTTAGGTGTTTGGTATTTTAGCTTTTTCGTTATTATGATTGCTTGTACTGTTTTCCCTAGTCTGATATAAGTTTTAAGGCGTAATTAAGGTCTTTCTCTAATTGTTCTCCATTGTTGTTGATACCTATCAAGAGTATGTCATCCGCGAAAGCTTGTACATGAGTATGTAGGTCTTCTGTTGCTTGTAAAAGGGAGTCTATTAAGGTATTCCATAGTATTGCTCCACAAGTAGAGCCCTGAATGCATCCCTTATTTGTGGGTCGCGTAACTGTTTGTCCAGCATATCTTAAATTTATTGTTCTGTTGGCCAGGTAGCTTCTTATGCTTATGCTTCCCAGCTTATGAGCACGCTCAATTCTTACCAATTCCTTGGCGGATCGGCATCGTTCCTGCTCTAATCCAAGGAGATGCCGCGAGCGAGAATCAGATAACGAGAGCACGGTTTCATACAATCCCTGCAAGCAGTTGTGCACTAGAAGTGCAGTCAGTCAGTCAGCTTTGCAGTCGCGTTTCATATTTCCGGCTTTTTCAAGTGCTTCCTTGCCTGAGAGCAGGAAGTCATTAGCTCGATCAGTAGCTAGATCCATTGATATACCGGCCCGCTTGTAAGCGGATGGCAATATACTGGACCTCCTGTTGTTAAGGTTAGTTGCACTATCTGCGTCAGACCACTCATCATCAGTACGTTGGAATGGTTTACATTTCCCTAAACAGCATTTTATTTCACATATACCATGGAGAGTGCTCTGAGGAATTGTTCGGATTAATCCCAGTTGCCAAATTTCATGAACGCACTACGCGGCAAACGTCCCGATACCATCCACACCATCTGGATGCTTGGAGGTCCACCACAGTACGTTTCACTAGGAGTTTTCTTCCGCGTACAACCTCTCTGTGGAATAGTTTACCACCGGCGATTTTTCCGGACCGATACGACCTGGGGACCTTCAAGAAAAGAGCTTACTCCTTTCTAAAGGGCCGGCAACGCACCTGCAATTCCCCTGGTGTTGCGGTTGATCATGGGCGGCGGTAGTCACTTAACATCAAGTGAGCCGCATGCTCGTTTGCCCCCTCTTCTATAAAAAAAAAACTGCGCAACACTTGTGTAATTTAAATTTTTTAACTACTTTTCTCTGTTCCGGGCCATAGACTACAAATGCTGCTCCAATATTTCCCTCTGTATTGCTGCCGTCAGTATATATTTGTTAACTGTCTGGAGGTACGTGTTCTGCTATATGTTCCTGTTCTGAAGCTATATTGAAATTTATTTTAACTCTATTCGCTGGATGAAGAATTGATGAAGGTTGCGCTGGTCCATCAAGTGTGATATCTTGGGGCAAAAATTTTGATATTCCTGTTGTTCTTGTGTTTTCGATTTCAGCAGTTTCTAAAATTTTTGCAGGTAAGGGTATTAGGTTAGCTAGTGAAATGGATGCTGCCGTACTAAGAGTTCGGAATCCACGAACTATTTTTATGGCAAAACCTCTTTGTAACGACAAGAGTTTTTTTCCGGACTCATTCAAATTTTATTGCATCGTGCCATATGCTAGATGCATAACAGATGATCGGTTCAATTACTTGTTTGTATATTATTGTTATATTATCTCCATGTATACCCCACGTAGGTCTGGCGAATCTAATGAGTTTTTGATATATATATTTTGTGCTTTATCAATAATGGATTTTACATGCTGTGTGAAATTCAATTTTTTATCAATGGTGATGCCAAGGAGCTTAATTGTATTTTTAAAGTGTACTTGTTGATTATTGATTTTTAATACGCTTTTCTCAGCTTTGTTAGTGAACGCTATTGCCTGCGTCTTTTGAGGTCCGAACGTTAATTTTACATTAAATCCCCATTAGGTGATCATCTCTAAAGCTTGATTAGTTTTATTCTGTAAAACTTCTAAATTTTTATCATGAACAATGAGTGTCACATCATCTGCGAATGCTTGTATGTGACACCCTTCTGGGAGTTTAAACTTTAAAAGTTCATCCAAAATCAGATTCCAACAAGTTGGTCCACACACTGGTCCTTGGATGCAACCGCGTGTGAGCGTCTTTATGGCTGAGCTATCCGCAAAATCAATCTGCGCTTTCCTATCTTGAACCTAGCTGTGCATTATATCATATAAATTTTTAGGACATTTGATCTTGTGCAGTCTTTTGAAGATTAATGGCCACCAAGCATTATTGAAAGCTGCTTGTATTTTCAACGAAATGGCTATGACATATTCATTGTTTGATTTGGATTGCTTGACTGTATCTATAACTTTCTTTAAGGCATGTACGGTGCTAGTTTGTTCTTTAAATCCATATTGATTATTGCATGCAAGATTAATACTGGTGATGTGGTGTGTGATTCTTTGAATTATTAGTTTTTCTAATAGCTTTCCAAAAACATTAATTAATCCTATAGGTTGGTATGCAGCAGTATCAAATTGTTTGATTTGTTGGGTTTAGGTATTATTTTGATGTATGCTTCCTTCCATATTTTCGGAAAATATTTTAGCTCCAAACATTTATTCATTATTAAAGTGACCGTTGAAGGATACCATTTCGCAAACATTAGACAATTGTCTGACATTAGATGGTTGGGTCCTGGTGACTTGTTGGGATTCATAGCCTTGAGGCAGTCCAAGATCTCTTCAGTGGTGAATGACGGGTCAGGAGTGGTCTTTGGAGAGATTTCCATGAGTGATCTTGCTTCAAGCTGCTGTTCTGTCACATCAGGTGTGTCATCAGGGAAGTATTCGTTTAGAAATAGTTTGGCTGCCCCGGTAGTAATTACAGTATAATAACCGTTTCTTAATTTTACTGTCGATGGTGGTTGAGTAAGAGGTTTAGTTTTAAGTAATTTATTGGTCAATGACCAGACATCGTCTTTTCCCTGTTTATTATAGAATTCTTTGAAGTTTAAGATTGATGCATTTTTTAATGCTTCAGAATATTCAGCTTTCAATTTATTACGCTCATCTAGAGCTAGCGGTAGGCTTCGACGTTTAAGTTGATGAATTGTGTGGTGTTTTTTTATGAGCTCCTTTTTCATATTTTCTAGTTCTGTAGACCATCAGGGATTTTGTGATTTTTTGCTCAAAGCCCGAGGCGAAGGTACATTGCATGCATTTTGTATTGCAAGTGTCAAGTTAACTATAAATTTTTCTAATTGCAATGTGTCTAATTTGCATATATTTTCTTATGTTGGATGTCTAGAACAGGTAAATGAAATTGTATACTTGGGGAGTGCTTTCAGCCGGGATGGAAGATGTGATTTAGATGTGGATAGACGTGTCACTGCCGGAAACAAAGTCAATGGTGCCCTGAATGCATTAGTAAAAAGGCAAGGCGTGGTGAAGAGTGCACGCCTTGCAATACATAATGCAGTGTTGGTACCGACTTTGTTATATGGCAGCGAAACCTGGGTATGCCAGAAGAAGCATAAAAGCAAGTTGAATGCAGTGGAGATGCGATCTCTTCGTAAAATGTGTGGCGTTACCTTAGCCGACCGAAAGCGAAACGAAGAGATTCGCAATATGACAGGATTGAAAGATGACCTTATCACAAAAATTGATAGGGGCGTACTCCAATGGTTTGGGCACGTTGAACGAATGAGTGAAGACCGAATGGTGAAGAAAATATATAGAGCGAAAGTAAATATTAAAGGGTGTCGAGGTAGACCGAGACTAACTTTCGAAGACCATATGAGCAAATTGCTCGAAGAGGGGAGGGTCAAGAGTACTCGGATACCTAGACGTGCATGTATGAAGAAGTTAATGAACCTGAAGGAAGCGAAAGAGGTATGTAAGGATCGTGACACTTGGCGATCTGTTCTCTCTGGCTACCCCGTTAGGGATTGTGCGTGAAGATAAGTAAGTAAGTAAGTAAGTGTTGGAAGTGCTTTGATGATTTCTTTTTTGAAGTTTTCCTCTATGTTGTCCCAATTTATACGGGTGGTGTGGTATCTAAAGCTTGACAGTTTTTTGTTTTTCTTTATGTTACGGTCATCTAGATGTAATTTAAATTCAATGCCATTATGATCTAAAGAAGGACATATTTCAAGATTAACTTTCCAATCCATAACTTGGTTTACTAGTGAGTTGCTTGTTAGTGTTAGGCCTATAATTGAGTCTCTATGTACACCATGTGTAATTGTTTCAAAAGTGGGCGTGGTGCCCTGATTGCATACGCCTAGGTCATGAGTAAATATTAAATTAGCTAATATATTACCTCTTTTGTTATTTGATTGATTTAGAGTCCAAAGGCAGTGCCAGCCCTTAAAATCACCTCCGATTATGTGACGCGCTTCTTTAGTGTTTTCTAGGAACAGTTTGAGATGATTCATGGCGTCATATATATCGTTACGTGGTTTTTTTTTTTATAGGATAGGGTGACAAACGAGCACACAGTCCACCTGATGGTAAGTGGTTGCTGCGGCCCATAGACATCTACATCTATCTTCCATTACAAATCAAAATGCAGATGCGTTGTCACCCGTGTGGACTGAGATGGAATGCCTCATTTCCAGTAAAAAGGGTCTCCGGTTCTCTACACTCACCATACGAAATACAGCAGCATTAAGCTACTATTTCACGCTGGTATTCTGTGAGAGCGTGGTCCTTCCCCGGTCGAGCCGACCCATTCGTGCTACAACTATACTACTAATATAATTGCAGCATGGCTCTACCACGTTACAAACGTTCTATGTATACACTAACGAGGTAGATTTGTTTGCCCGCCTTATTTATTCGTACTATTGAACACTTAGAGTTGGAGTATTCTGAAATACTGAGGGTGCTAAATGAATTTTCTTTTATCAATATGCATGTTTTAACAAGTCGATTTGATTGGAACTGGTATATTGCGTATCCATCAACTTTTTTCATTAACTTTGTTTCTCCTAGATAGCGTTCATTTATTAGGGCCACATGAATGTTATGTATTTTCTCTCAAAAATAAAGAAAACTCGTGCTGCGCTTCCTTGCAACGTCCAAGATTGCATTGCACGAAATTGAGAAAATTAAAATTATTAATACATTGCTTTCTGTTGTATACTGGTTACGTTGAATTTGAGATAAGTTACGTTGATTATTTTTCTTATTGGGCTTAATATCCATAATCGGTTTTTTCGATAGCACGTTTAACCATAGTTTGGACGGTGGGGCAATAATTTTATGTAGCGGAATGTTTTGTGTCTCTATTAGTTTTGTGTTTTTGATTGTAGGTGTCACAGTTAATGCAGCACGTCTTAGCCTGATTATTTTTATTTGGGCAGTTTACAAAATTGTGTGTCTGAGATGCGCAGTGAGAACAAGTTTGTGTGTCTGATGTACAATTTTTTTAATATGACCGAACTGTAAGCATTTAAAACATTGAAGATGAGCCGAGAACTGTTCAACATATATTTTTTGGTGATCGACATTGACGCGTTCCATTTTGATAGCATTTTTCCAAATTGGGGGTGTTACAAGAAGTACTGCATTATATAAATCATTTTTTTTGTTTTTACGTTGAAATCGGAGGACAATATCAGTATCAGTTTGAACTAAATCATTAATTGTTGGGTTCTGTCGTTTGAAGACACTCACGAGTTCGTCAACTGGGACGTCTTTTGAAATTCCTTTTGGTTGAATCATGGGACTCAATTTTTTAGCAGCTTGAACAGTCACATTACTTTCACTCTCATTAATATTTTAATTACGTAATCCCGTTGTTCCGCAGTGTCAAACTCTACACATAACTTAGAGTTTGACAAGGGTGTAACTTTAGATTGGGCGAATGTGGTATTTTAAAAGAGAAACTCTTACGCCAGGCCTCCACGGTTTCCTTCTTGGTTTCTGTTTTTTCTTATTTAGTGTATTTTCTAAAGGAAATTAGAGTGCAGGTGGTAGTTTCTACACAAGACAAATATATTTCTATATTATTTTATTATTTATTATTCTATATATCTATATTATTTATTATTCTATACTAGTTTGGATCCATTTGCCTTACCCGCAGAGCGTACAACTGCTTCTGAAAACTTAAGGTAATGAGTCCGACAGTCATCGTTGTTAATTGCATTTCTTAAATTATTGATAGTGAGCGCCATCCCCATCTTTTGTTCACAGTCAAGTCTTTGTATGGCGAATCTAGGACAGTCAATTAATAGATGTTCGATATTTTCTTCTTCGTCTTTACTGCAAACACAGGATGGAGACTGCGCTAGCTTATATTTGTATTTATTAATTTATTTATTTTATTTATTTATTTATTCAAACAAGCAAAGAATATCTTAATTTCTAGGATACAAACACTTTAAGATACAGCTTGACAATAAATAGAATTCAGTGAACATCTATGTCTGAACTAGATAACTTAATATCTGTGTTTCAGACAGCAGCGCTCTTCCCTTTAAGATTTACATTTCACTGTATATAAAAAGATCAAACTTTATTAACTTACAGTTGTGGAGTGTAGGTGAGCCTCCTTGTGTGTAGAGTGATAGTGTGTGTATGTGTGTAGGAGGTTGAGTATAATATTCATCTAGGTACATTAAGTAATTGTTCGGTTTCGTTATAGTTTAGTTTATGAATATTTTCGAATAATTTCCTTTTACAGTCTCTAATATTTAAGCTTCTTATGTCCATAACTTTGCTGACTTTAGAGTATAGATATAGACCCAAAAAGGGAAAATATTGTGCGAATTGGTGTTTGAATGTTGGTCTATTGGTTTAAAGTTACATCTCTGTGGTGTTTATAAATGGTGAATATATCAGAGCTTGAATGTTGCTTCATAATATTGAGCAGGATGAACAGTTGGCGAATTGAGAGGACTTCACAAGATTGATACAGGAGGTAGGTAGGAAACAAATAGGGGCGAAAAGTGCTTACTTTAAGAATAGCTCTTTGAGCTATTTCAAGTGGTTTAATAGTGGTTTTTGGTGCACCTCCCCATACAGTAAGGCCATAACACACTATAGATTGTACAAGAGCCAGGTAGATATGTTTAACCAGTTTAGAATCTGCCACATTCCTTATATTTTTAAATACGTATATCAGATTTCTTAACCTTGTAGTAATTAAATTAACATGAGATTGGAATGAAAGATGTTATCTATAAGGATACCAAGATATTTAACCATATTGGTAGTAATCAGTGAAGGGCAATGGCATACGTCAATATTGCAGCAATCATGCGCAATCAGAGAATGGGAAGGAGTTGTTGAGGTTGTGTTTCGCATGGAGAAAGATATGTATACAGTTTTTTCTGCGTTTAGGGTCAGTACATTGAACTTAAACCACTGACACACAGTGCTAAAGCCCTGCTGCGCCAGTCTATAAACATCCTCCCACTTGTCGGCTGAGAACAAGAGCGCAGTGTCATCTGCATAAGAGATAACCTTACCACCTTCTAGAGGAAGATCACAAAGGTCGTTTAAATAGGCTAGAAAGAGAGTTGGCCCTAAAATACTGCCTTGCGGCACACCATAAGTAATAGGTAGGTCATCACTAATAAAATCATAAATCTTGGTGCATTGACAGCGATTTGAAAGGTAATGTTCAATTAGTTTTAACTGATTTCCTCGAATTCCCATCCCCCCATCATCATCATCATCCCATACCGAAACTGTGTCAAAGGCCTTTGCTAGGTCAACAAATATGCCTATTGTTTTTTTGACAGCGTCAATGTTCCTTACCACATAATCCACAAGTTCATGGACCGCATCACAAGTTGATTTGCCAGTTCTAAAACCAAATTGATTATTTGAAAGTAAGTTATTTACTTCTAAGTATATTATAATTCTGTTATTGATGATGCATTCCAGGAGCCTGGAGACAGAAGGTAGAATAGAAATCGGCCTGTAGTTTGTCTTATGGATAGGTAGAATCACTGATTTCTTTAAGACCGTAGGAAAAGTGCCTTCATGCAAACAAAGCTTAAAAATGTAAGTTAGCACTGGAACTAAGACGTGCCTGTTCTCTTTTCAGACACTTCAGACACTTTTAGGGTCCAAAACTAAGCGCTCCACTTCAGCTTCATCAGTGTCCAGCAAAACAAACGACTTTAAAGACCTATGAGACTGCATTGAGAATACGTTAATATATGATGGATTCTTACAAACTATCGTCTTCTCAGCCAAAGTCTTGCCAACCGACACGAAGAACTCATTAACGTTTTCCACACATTTTTTGGACAAGCCCTGTTTATTAACTCCGTAGTCGTATTTTTTATTTTGGATGTGTTAGTGATGATTTTTATTGCGTCCCAAAGTTTTTATTGTCATTGCCTGCTGCCCTTATAAGGTTAGTTTACATAATGATTTCTTATATTTACGCGAACTCTACACTTTTCACCACCCATGGTCACTGGGGCACGGGGGGGGGGGGAAGCGCCCGAAACGTAGGAAATAAAAATAATAGTAAAATAAACGCGATGAAATCTGTAAAAGTAGTTTTAACCAAGGATAGTTTATATAAATAAGCCTTAAAACCTCCATGACCAGTTAGTAGTTGTACTTTGTCTATTTTTATACGCTTGAGTGTTCTATACGCTTCTTTTATATCCAGTAGAAATTTCTTTGTTACAGCTCCCGTAGTTGCTGCACTATATCGTAGCTGCCACTCTATGCAAGTAGAGTCCCTGGCAAGTCGCTTCGCGAAGGACAGGGGGAATCTATCGTAAGCTGGAGTTTGCTTGTTGGGAAGGGCAGTGCTTTTTTCGCCAGTTCATCGGCTCTCTCATTACCGGCTAAGCCAATGTGTGCTTTAATCCAGCAAAGCTTAACCTCGCCACTTTGTCTAATAGTGACTCTATTCGGTCCCGTATTTCCACAGCTAATGGGTGCAGAGATGATGTGTCACTCAGGCATTCTAAGGCAGAGCGTGAGTCGCTTAAGATGATGCCTTTCTTTAGGTCTTTGTGTTTGTGCATCAGATATAGTGATCTTAAAATTACCGCCTAAAGGACGATTTTCGTATTTCCTGATTGTTCTTCCATATCGTCACAGCTCCTCCAACTTTACATTGAATCTTACTTCCATCAGTGTATAATTTTGGTATTTGGGAGTCAATCAAACTTTCTTCTTCTTCAGAGGTAATAATCTCAAAAAGTATACGATGCATATCGGCTGGATGTGGTAGGTAAAATGGATTCACTGGTTTTTCGCAAATTCTTCCTGGAAGTTGGGTTAGGGGCTTCCCTCGTTTTATTTCATAGAGTTTTAGATGTTCTATTGCTCTAAGATCCACAGGAAATATTCCCGCTCGTAGAACACTGGGAGTAAAGGAGACTGTTCTATGTCCTTTACAGATCGAGACAGCAAACATTCTTGTGATACGGTCAAGTTTCTTCTTCACATACTCTTTCTTCACCATTGCGGCCCAAACACTTGCCGCGTAAAGGATCGTAGGTTCTACTACTGCTATGTAAATAGTTTTATTATTTCGGAGTTTAGTACCCATTGTGCTTTTGCTGTTCTAGCCACTTTTTTATATAAATTGATGGCTTTCCTAAGGGGCTTCATCAATGTGTTCTGTGAATCTTAAATTTTTTCAATTGTGACTCCAAGTACTTTTATACTTGCTGATGGTTGGACATAAACATTATCCATTCTTATTTGCGGTAGTTCTGGAGACAGTTTTTTAGTTATTATAACTGCTTGTGTTTTCTGTGGTGCAAATTTCAACTTACGGGCTTTACGGGCAAATTTCTACTTACGGCCCCATGCAATTATTTGATCCAAGGCTGTGTTCAGTTCTTCTTCAATGGATTTTGCTGAGTGACCCTTTGCGATGACGAGTATGTCGTCGGCAAAAGCCTTAAGGTGTACTTTCAGATGTGATGTAATTTCGAGGAGTGGATCCAAGAGAATATTCCAAAATATAGGCCCACAGGTTGATCCCTGAATACACCCCTTGGTGGTGGATTTAGTTACTACTGCACCTGCATATTTTAATGATATATATCTCGAAGTAAGGTAACTGGTAAGTAATCTCAGAATATCTTGGCTCACTTGTTTTCTCTGCATTTCTTTTATTATTTGAGGCCACCACGCATTGTCAAATGCCCCTTCTATATCCAGGGATACCACCACAACAACCTTTTTTTCATTGAGCCCCTGTTTTATAACAGACATTGCATCGTACAAGGCGTCTTCCGTACTGCGGCATAAATCCGTATTGTCGGCTGTTAAGTTTATCTTCTTTACCCAATTGCCAAAGAAGCCTGGTTACAAAAAGTTTCTCTAATATCTTTCCGAATATTGGAAGTAAGCCAATGGGATTTGGTTACTGTGTAGTCTTCTCTGTTAGGTTTTGGGATAATTTTTATTATAGCTTTTTCCAGGTTTTAGGGAAATAACCTATTTCGAGACTCTTATTATAGATAGCCATTAGTGCTGAAGGTATGGTCTTATAAGACTGATAGCATATATCCGAGGTGATGCCATCCTCTCCGGGTGCTTTTTTAGGATTCATTTTATCTAAAACAGCTTCTATTTCTATTTCTGTAAAATTACGATGGGAAACGGCCGTGTTTTTTCTTAGTTCATTAGTGATTTTGTCCGCTTCTTTTCGAATTCTGGTTTGTTCTTCAGTGTCTTTGTTTTTCTCATCATCTGGGTAGGTAGAAATTTTTTGCCAATAACATAGCAGAGTCATTTCCGTTGAGAATTTCATCGCCTAATTTCAGCAGTTTGTCTTCGTTAGTTACACTACATCTTTTAATTATTCTGTATATACTTTGCCACACAGTTTCTTTTTCTTGTGCACCAATGCACCAAGCATAGTTCTTTCCAACTAGTAGTTATTGCTGACATTATATTATTAACATACTTTTCTTTTGCCTCCACGAAATCCTGAATAACGTTCGGTTTACGTCTTTTATTGGCAAACTTTATTTTTCTTCTAAGTTGTATAACTATACGTCGTTCTGTTTCTAACTGTGAATTCCACCAAGGTGTACAAGTTTTATATACATTTTTAAATATAGTTGGTATTGATTTCTGGCATGCTAATTTTACTTGTTTGACATATATGTCTACGATATCATCCGATTCCTCTGGTGTTTTTATTGTTTTTATTTTATCCTCTATTGCGTTCTCCTTTTCTAGTCTTTCTTTCAAGTCGCTTCTGAAGAGAGACCAGTTTGCCTTAGCTGTATTAAATAATCGATTGGAATTCCTTAGCACGACGTTCTGTTTATCAATATTAATTCTCGTTTGAAACTGTATGGCTCGATGATCAGATATTGTGACAAAATCAGGGTCCACCCTCCATCTTTCCATCTTGTGTAGAATTTCCGACGTACAACAGGTCACGTCCACTACGCTGCTGTGTAACTTTCCTCCTCGGTATTAGTAAAAGGTGGAGTCACTGCCCTGATTTAAGACATTCATATCCAGTTCAGCTATCATTTCTGATAAAAGTAAACCCCTCTCGTCCTCAGCTCTGCTCCCCCACCAGAGACTCCTTGCATTAAAGTCGCCTGTTAGAATGACGTTTTCCGTGTCCATATCTTGCACAATTCTTGTTATCTTCCTTATATCAACTTCTATGTTACCGTCTTTCTCTAAATACACATTTATAATGCCTACTACAAGTTTTCCTATTTTAACTATAAATCCTACAATATTTTCGCTAACATGCTCTGGATTTTCTATGATTAAGTAGGTTGGATCAACAACGATGACTGCCGATTTAACCGGTTTATCTCTATTACTGGTAGTCTTTTGAATTACGCGACGATTACAAGTTACATGTGCTTTTGCACCTACATATGGTTCTTACAGTAGAAGCAACGCCACGCGTTGTCTTATTGCCATGTGAAGACATTCTTTAAACGCTGCCATTCCTCGGCCAAGATTTACCTGTACTAATTTGGTAGTTTGTGTATCTGTTGCGTTTGAATTTGATGCATTATCAGTAGAGGAGTGTGTACCTAACCGTGATTGCTCGATGTTATTACCCTGATCAATCTTAGCAATATGCTACCGAGGACCTGGCTATGCGATCCCATTTCTGCCACACTGGACATTCATTGCTGTATGATACATGACTGAGGTCACCTACAATTTTGTTTTTAGTGAAGTTTGCGCAAGTTGGTGCTCCATTACTGCGTGGACATTCTCTGCTGTCATGGTCCTCTGCGTAATATCCGCAGGTTGATTTATCTGCCCGACACTCTCTAGCTCTATGTCCAAATCCCATACATCGGTAGCATTGCACAACAGGAGATTGGTCCAGGGCGGGTACTACTTGGTATCCCACATGCAGTCTTTGGTTTTTCAGTGCCTTCCAGACCTTAGGGCTTACTTCTAATATTATATTGTTAATTGCCGCCGTTCTCCCCTTAATGCGTCTCAAGACCTTAGTCTTAATCTTTTCTATTTCGATGTGTTTTAGGAGCTTCATGTTTTGGTTAACCAATGCCTCTTCTAGTTTTATATTGTTAAGATCATTAGCTACACCTATTAATTTAAGTAGTGGATTTTTAGCTGTTGACTTTGAGACCTTAAGCTTCTGGTTCGAGTTTTTTATTGCATTTTGAAGCTTTTGCCGGTCCTCGTCATTGTTGCATGATAGAAACACCCTCTGATTTCTAACCCTTCTTATATTGTTAATACCTACTCCAAGTTGTACCACATCGATGTTGTTCTTTATAGTGTTAACAACATCTTCGCTTGTATGTCTGGGATCCAAAGATTCAACTACAAGACCAAACCGTGATGAAGTAAGTGCTTCTGCATAAGACTTTATTGGGCGAGTGGCTTGTTGTTCTTTTATTGGGACATTTTTGGGACTTTCCGTTATTTGCTTTGTTATGGTGCTACAGTTATATGTCTCTAGATGATTAAGCTTGTCCCTGATTTCTGCAATTGCCAGCTCTGTACCCAAACCTGAGTTATTCTGAAACGCACTTTGGCTCACTCCGTAGTCTATTATTTCCCTTATATCCTCAGTGATTTTGTCTAATCTAAATAACACTGATTCTATGGCTGTTGATACGCTATCCATAGCCGTTGACTGTGAAGATGTCAGATCATGACTTGTGTTTATAGGTTGCGGATTGTATCTTTGATATTTGACATGTCGCTGGCAATATCATCAATGCGAGGATCCTTCCATGAGTTTAGAGCCAGCGCAATGTGTTCAATACTTTCTTTGTCCGCTACGTTATTTTTAAAGACGTTGATGTCAGAACCGAGTGCTTTAAGCTTTTCCATGATGCCACTTGTTTCTTTATTGACGCCAATTCTTCCCTATTGTCTGTGTGTTCTTTCCTTAGTTGTTCACCAGTGATGCAAGTAGATAGATCATGGCTTGTTTTGGTTGATATTTCATGTATTTCTTGTTTTATCTTGTATATAACTTTAATAGGGTCATCCATTTCGTAATTTAGCCAACCCCTTATTGCCTCTGTTGATTTTTGCGTTTCCTGCATGACATCTTGGATAACTTTAAGTCCCTGAGTATAGGTGGATTGAAGCTCTGTCAGTTGTTTCGTATGTGCTCTTTCGACTCTCACCAGCTCTTTCGCTGCTCGACTGCGTTCCTGTTCTAATGCCAGTCGATGACGAGAGCGTGAGTCAGAGTGTGACAGCACTGTTTCATAGAGGCCTTGTAAGCAATCATGTACCTCCTGCTTACACTCGCGCTTCATGTTGCCGGCTTTTTCCAGGGCCTCTTTGACCGCGAGCAAAAAGTCATTTGCTCGCTGTGTAGCGAGATCCATGGAAATACCAGCTCGTTTGTAAGCAGGTGGCAAGATGCTAGACCTCCTACTGTCTCCACTCACCATACTTTCGACATCTGACCACTCATCATCCGTGCGGTGCACTGGTTTGCATAGTCCTATAAGACCAAGCTCAGCTTCAATGTCAAAAGATGTATTGTCATCAGTGGCGGTTTCGGGTCCCTTTGTTTTCATAGTTGTTATATTGGTTTTATCGGTCGGTTGTCCCATAATAATATTACTGGTGACAGACTCGGAGGTAGCCTCGCCTTTCTCAGCCATTCCCCTATCCATTCTATCTCTATCTTCTGACACTTTTTTGGAGGAAGCTGCGTTGTGCATGAGGACTTTCTTTCGTAATATTGGGGCCGAGGATGGACTAACTCCTCGAACCGACCTAGACGTGGGTTTGGTTTGTTTTGCTAATTCTACACAGGATTTGCTAGATTCAACCGACATTTTTTTGTTAGAGTCGATTTTCAAAGCTTTACGTAGAGTCAGAAGTTTTATTATAATGTGGGGTATGCAAGGTAAGGCTTTCTATCAGCTATTCAAAATCCTCAGTGTGCTAAAAGTCACCGTCTTCGAATAACGTTCACACTCTATGTAGAGTCCGTGAGGTAAAACATCAATAGAGCTGGTGCTAACAATCACTTTGTTGAAAACCGCAGCTCAAAAGGAGCCTCCGTTCCAAAGATATAACAAAATGAAATTTGAGATTATGGCGGAACAAGATGGCTGACTTAGTTCTAATTTTGTTTTTATGCTCTTCTAGTGCTCCTAAAATACCCGAGTTTGGGCTCAATCTTCTCAGTGAACTGCCGGCCGTCCAATAATGGTATAAAATAAGTGGGTTATGTAGGTGGTTGCTTTTTTACTTTAAAGTAGTCTTCTACTTATATTAACAAGTGTATTGAAAACCGCAACTCTCTATGAACAGTGGTTAGTGAGATATCTTTGTACAAATTTTTTGACGTTTTTACCAAGATGGTGACCGAAATTAAAAACTTTGTATATCTCTGGCTGCGGAAGAATTTGGATTCCCGCGGCCCCTCGCGTGCACGTGCGAGGGGACACCGGGGTGGTTTTAGCCGGTAAGAGTCCGGCACACCCCTCCGCCTTTCCCCCAGGCTGAGGCAGTCCATGAGGATTTCCCCGTAAAAAGGTTAGGTTAGGTTCCCCCCCGAATGGGTTCCCGCCTTGTCGTGGCGGGGGGGCTTAATATCCGCGGCTTGGTCGCCCGCGGTGAACAAAGAGGAACCCACGTGGCTGGCCCGAGGTGAAGGGCCGGCCCGAGGTGGCCACTCCGAGTGGGCTTGGGGAGCCCACTTCAGATGTGTGCAGGTGGACTGCAGCGAGAGGGCTGTCCGCATCCTCTACCGCTGCAGCCGAGGTGGAGTCGCGGAGGAAGAGGAGTGTTGGTATGGCGATGCGCCACTCGCCCTATCCTCCGCGACTCAAACGGGGCCGCACCGCTGATGCGGTGGTGGTGGGGCTGCGGGGGGAGAGAATTGTCGGTATTGCGAGGCACCGCTCTCCCTACCCTCCGCAGCCGAATCTTGGTTGGCGGCGGAGCCATATACCAGATCCGCCGCTGGGGTCGGGAAGGCTAGTACTTCTAAGTGCTCGTTTTTCCTGGCCCCATGGCCTTCGCGCATCGGACACGGGGGCGTCTGTTGCGCAGGTGTAATTGGAGGCCGTGGAGGAAGGTCGCCATGTGTTCTGGTGTGCCTTAACTGGGAAGGAGAATGGGGAGGAATATTCCTCTCCCGAGGAGGTGCTGCCATGGGGCGGCAGGCTCTGGTGGGGCCGCGTATGTGTGCGAAAGCGTTCCCGTGGCCCTACCAATAAGCGACGAAGGTTGAACACCATGGGGTTTTAGTCGGAGCGAGTCCGACATAACCCGTCCTTGCCCCCGCAATGTGGGTATGCGTAGGCATTTCCCCTTGTAAAAAAAAAAGGTTAGATTAAGTAATGATTAAGTAATGATTTAAAAAAATATATATATATATATATATATATATATATATCATCATTACTATAATCATTACTGCCCTTCGCAAGTCCACTGCTGAACATAGGCCTCCCTCAAGGTATGCCACAAGGGACTTACTAACAAAACTAATATTATTTGTGCTTGTGCGAGCGAGCACGCGCGCGCACGTGTGTGTGTGTGTATGTGTGTGTGTGTGTGTGTGTGTGTGTGTGTGTGTGTGTGTGTGTGTTACTATATAATTTTGCAGTTTCTACAGCTTATGCAGACATTTTGTATTTTCTCAAATCAATGATTCTCGAATTGTCTCTCAGCAAAAACTGACTTAACTCGGTTTTGTGAAATGATGTTATAAATACCAGTAGTTGAATAAAGTTTGTCCGTTGAAAATTTACGCACTTTAAAATACATAACTTTTATTAATGCTCTCTGTGCTCTTTCCAAGTTAAGAAATCTTGTTTTATTTGCTCCACCATAAACGGTAAAACAGTACATTAAAACCGACTGTACTGTGTGTGTTATACGTGGTAGAGCCATACTGCAGTTATATTAGTAGTATAGTTGCAGCACGAATGAGTCGGCCCGACCGGGGAAGGACCACGATCTCACAGAATACCAGCGTGAAATAGTAGCTTAAAGCTGCTGTGTTTCGTATGGCGAGTGTAGAGACCCGGAGATCCTTTTTACTGGAAAAGAGGTATTACATCTTAGTCCTCACGGGTGACATGCATCTGCATTTTGATTTGTAATCGAGGATAGATATAAATGTCTATGGACCACAGCAGCCACTTACCATCAGGTGGAGTGTGTGCTCGTTTGTCACCTATCCTATTAAAAAAAAGAGAAATGTACGTTTGGTGCAAGATACTGTTAGAGGCCACATATCGTAATATCTTGTTTGTCCATATGACTTTTCTTGTTCTGTTCATAATCAATTCAATATGACATGACAAGCGCTGATCAACCATGACACCCTAAATCACTAGTAATTTTAGTAAAATAATATCTCCTTTTCATAGTCTTTAATAAAAATTAGGCGACTGTGGAATTCCGGTAGACGGCGATATAACCATCTCGTTTACTACAGGCGTAAAATACCAATTCAAGCGACGGAAAGCCGCAAAGGTTGTTAAACGTCTGCGATCGTCAATTTGGCAATGGTTTAAGGCAAATCCTTCCTACGATACGAGTGTCATTTCATTCATCTCTAGAAATGGACTATAAAGTCTGTTAATAAGAGTAACAAAGACACATTTCGTCGCAGTTTACGTCGGTTTACGAAAACAATGGGCATGTTTTCAAATTTTGTTTAATATTCAAGGTATTCAGATTAAGTTGAAAAAATAAATTGAAACTGCATTATATTATTTATGTGTGAAAATAACCCATTTAACTGTAATATAAGACTATATAATGTCAACATACACTTACCACTTAACTGCAACATAAATATTAAAGAGCATTTTCTAAATTAAATGTTTTATTTATGATCGGATGAAAACATTTTAAAAACCACAAAAATTATATTTCACTGACAAGTTTACTACAATACGTCATTTGAAACAAACACGGAAATATTTCCGGGTTCAACGCCATCGCGTCTCGCAGCATGCGAAGTAGATGTCACGTGCTACGCGCGTAGCTTCCGTCGTTGTAGACGGATCTACACTGGAGCTTACGTTTACAATGTACGCAGGACGAGGTATCTTCCTTTTTAAGTCACGCCTCGCCACACGTGAAAAATTGTCGAAATCAAGACTAAAATGTCACTTTTCTATAACAGGATACTTAATAAATCATTGTGACAAATATCTAGTCTATATAGGAGTAATCCGGATACTTTTTGTAGGTTTATAGATCTACAAATAATTTGTAGTAAGCTTAACGTTATTCGAAAGTGTGTTTTTATATAATACAAGCGATCCGCCACGACTTCACCTAGATAAGATCTATGAATGTAGCGTTAATTAAGTTTAAGATCCCTCGTGGCATTACTCTTTCAATCCATTCATAAATTTTCATTACAATCGGACAAATAATTTTTAAAGTTCTATTCATGTCTTAATAACGTGTAATTAGCTTCCTCAGCTACCTTCAGAAAGACAGAAATTTTGATATAACATACAGACTTATTTTCACACACAGAGAATTTTATTGATATGTATTGATTGAATGAATGCACTATTTATTCGTCACACACAACAAAACGTACAAAGAACTAAAAAAACCATAAGCAAATCAGAAAGAAAACAATATACATATATACATTTGGTTGCAGCAACGAAAAGGCATTTGATTTAGCATGATGCTGGAACACTTTCAACGCGCTGTTATTCCATCGATGCCTCGTATTTACCAAGCAATCGTTGGACAAACTTCTGTTACAATAAATACTTAAATAAAATATATTATATATAAATAACAAAGAGTTGCTGCCATTTTCTACACTGCAAAATGTTTCCACTTGCGAAATAAGACACTCTTAATTGTTCCACGTTTATTGCGAGACTGCCACCGCCCGAAATCGTCTTACAATCGTTTTTCGAGTCTACCCTATATCTAAAGCTAAACATATGAGATACTCAACTACAAACAATATACCACACCTCCACCGTTAATACAATATAAATGTCTTAAATAATAAACTTAACTAACTTTTATATAAAACTATTTTAATCTTCAACATTTATTCTATGACATAGAGATTCCCGTAACACGAGATAACCAAATTATATATATAAAATAAATCACTATGTTAATGAAGGAATCCGTACTGGCGGATGTCTGTTTCTTACAGGGTAACGGCGGTTTAATTCGGGCTCAAAACATTGTGGTTGTATAGCATTATTAATATCAGGCGATGCCATGCCACGCTGTGCTCCCGCCGCACCTACCATCGTGCCGGCCAACACCGCCGGACCTTCCCCTGGGTTATTAGTATTACTAGTTACGTTGATTAGAAACGGATTTATTAAATTACGCCTGGATGACTCTTTAATCGTGATCGGGTCTTGCAAAGGAAAATTAAATCTGTGTCTTAGCTGGTCTGCGTGTCGGTGATGTGAACTTCCATCGATGCCCAAAATTTCATAGTCAGTGCTACCTAGCCGCAACTAAACTTTTCCGCCCAACCATTTCTTACCCGTGCCGTAGTTATGGTATAAAATCTCATCCCCCTCGTTAAAACACCGCTGTGACCCGCCTGCTGCCAACTGCTGGCGTCTTTGCGCTGCATTAACGCGATCTGCGCGCTCCGGTTTTATATTTTGCTGGACTTTCTCCAGTAGTGCAATGTTCGGTATTTCTGTAAACTAATAGAAATCTAAGGAGAGCCGTGTTTACGTCTAAATTCTGAGAAAGGGCTTTCTTTACAACTTTTTTATAGGTTTTAACTGCATTTTCGGCCGCTCCGTTGGACGAAGGATGATATGGAGCAGAAAACGTGTGTTGTATTCCATTGTTGTTT